ATTACCTTGCGGCCTATCCTACCTCACAAGGCACTTGTGAGGTAGATAAGATGGAGGGTGGGAAACCCTCTATATCAATGTTATCAAAGTTAAAAATGTTCTGTTGTGGAGTAAGCCAAAATGTGAAATGAGGTGACCATGTGCTATCAGAAAGATTAAAATCCCACATGAATCATGCACTAGTCGTCTCCTCCTTGCATTATATCTTATCTGAATAAACATTTCCTGTTCTGCTGCAGTTCTCAGACTTTTCGGGAGGTCTCTAACAATTCATTCTGGATAGTGTACACAGAAGGGGGGATTTATGATTATTGTGGATGCAAGGTTGGAGATCGCTTTAACCTCAATTAAACAATAGGTACAGTAAATAGCGTAACAAAAGGGGAAGACCTCCAAATAATATTTGCAACCAGGCAAGAGTGAAATGAAGTGCAGTTCTGCATACATACGTACAATAAAATGGTAAGATGTGAGGCTGCCTTGAGGGCCTTTGGTGTGTTTTTTTCTTCCAAATTTTCTTTATAATTCACATTTCATTGAATATAACCACAAATTCAAAAATTAACTTCCCTTTCCCCCTTCCATGGTTCTATTTATTTATCCATTAAGACTGTATATTCTAATTCCTACTTTTATTTTAAAAAAATCCCTTCCCTCTATAGTTTTAATTATTTAAACTGCTGAATTTAAATTAATCCTGCTAACACTTTATCCTGCTTGACATAATCCTTCATATATTCTGCAAACATTTCTCACTCTTCCTTAAAAAACTCAATCTTCCTGATTTCTTATTCTATTAGTTAAATTTGCCAATTCTACATATTTAATTGATTTTATCTGCCACTCCTCCTTTCTTGGAATCATTCTCTCTTTCCATTTCTCAGCATATACTATTCGGGCTGCTGTAATTGCATAAAGAAATAAATTATTTTGGTCTGTAGGGACTTCCTAATAAGAAGCTTTCTGATCTTTTTAGAAAAGTTAATTATATATCATCTCCCAGAATTCCTTCACATTTTTACATGTACACTTCATATGGTAAAAAGTACCCTCCATTTCTTGACACTTTCAACAAGTACTTGACTCTGATTTATACATTTTTGCTAATTTACTTGGCGTAAATTTATCAGCTGCCTCGAGAGCCTTTGTAAGGCCATGTGGAAGGATCTAAATGAAGTAAAATAATAGAATAATAGAATTGTAGAGTTGGAAGGGAACCTGAAGGGAACCTAGCCCAATATCGTATTGCAGAATACACCTACACAAAAAACCAGACTAAATGAGTTGCCTGTCATCTCCTCTGGCTCTTTTCCTCTGTTGATTTTTCTCTCAATATCTTCACCAATACTCCCCTAAATTTCCTCAGAAAAACCAAAATCCCTCCCACCCATTATGGGTGGGCCAATATAAATATAAATATGAAATAAAAAGTATAAAATATGGAATAAAATAAAGCTGTGCTCTAGGCATCTTGCAGTAGGCTACACTTGACAGGATTGGAAAATACTGGGGGGAAATGAACTCTTTTAATTATTCAGCACAGCAGCTATTGAAGCATAATAACTATTCCATGTTAAGTGACCTTAAGAGCACATTCTGGAGTAGTTTTCAGTACCACTGAGGTAAACCCTTAGGTGAACAGCAGGCAGACACCTTTGTGTCCTCAAATCTCCTCAGAAAAACTTCACAAGACTCTCCTCAGAGAGACATCCTTTCCCTCCCCGCTCAGCAGCTAAGAGCCAAAAAAAGGCTGTTCTCCTCCAGATCTTGCTCAGAGCTCCTGTTCTGAAGGAAGGTGGCTGACAACACGATGGCAGTAATCCCTGGCTGTGTACACAATCCCATTGACGCTTCATCCAGTTTACTCCCACTGCTGTTTTAGAAAGCAGTGTACACATGACATTAGCCACAACCCTTATCTATCCTGTTTTATCTTGTCATTTCTTAAGGAACACATTACTGTGTTTTGATTTGCTTCCTCATAGTCCAAATTGAGAAAATGAACCACCTAGCTGTGTTTTAAGATGATAATATGCACACAGCTTCCGTTTCTGTTGATCTTTAGGAACAGGCCAAAAACACTGCTGTTTCCCTCAGCTTTTAATATGAGTTGCTATTCATTTTACTCTGTCGTATGTTGTTTCGATATTTTAAATTTGTAAGCTGTTTTGTGAATCAGCATGATGAAGAGGTGGGATACACATTGTTAAAAAAAGAGGAACAAATAAGCCCAAAATAGTGTGTGTGTGTGTGTGTGTGTGTGTGTAAACTGACAACCATTTTGAACATTAGAAGGGAATTAACCAAGCAGGCTTCCCTGAAAAGTGCTGAATATGGATATTTGAATTGGCCAAATGTCTGAAGTGCGATATAAAAGCTCGTACACCTTTGCAGACTCCTTTAGAGATCTTCAGACATATTTGTAAAGCACCATTTGTTGTATAATCATTCTTCCTTGCCAAACTGATAGTATCTGAGGGTCACTGGCAACTAGGTGATTCCTAGAAAAGGATTTGAGACTCACACATTTGTTAATGATTTGAGATGCTTGTTGTATGGGAATGGAGGAAACAGTGGGGAAATATGTTTATTTTCTCCACCTCTATAAAAAGCCAGCAGGATACCCAACAAAGTAATGTGGGGCCCTGAAATACCAATAATCCTAATTGTTTCTTACAGTTTGAAAGGAATGCCAAGCATCCAAATTTGGAGGCCCCAGACACGTCTTGCACAGATATTAGACTAAGCAAATATTTTCCTTCTTGCTTGGTTGGAAACAGACAATAGTTTTTAGGAGAGTTAAAAGTAGGGCTTTTTCGGCCGGAACTCGCCGGAACTCAGTTCCAGCACCTCTCAGGAGGGCGCCATTGCCATTCCAAGAGAATGAGGGAGGTGTTCATGGTGTGTTCTGGCACCTCTGTTTTCTAGAAAAATAGCACAGGTTAAAAGTGGTTGTCTGTGTTGTTCGCATGCATTTGTTCAGAAGCATCATAAAAGATATGAAAGACAGAAATGACGGCTCTATCTTACCACTTTCAACATTCTGACATTTGGTTTGCCTACAGCTAGCCCTAGCTAGCAAGTGAAAACAGATGTGATCAGTGGTGTCTGCTGTTAGAAGCTTCAACCAGCTTCTACCTGCCTGCCTGCCTTATTACAGTTAATCTAGTGAGCAGCAAATAATAATATTCCTCCTTAGTCTCAATGTTGCCCTTGTAATACTCATTGGGGAAGAGGATGGGGACAAACTTAAATTAGAGGACAAACTTGAATTAGATGGTTTTGTGGGCCATTTGCTCTGGTTCCAACTATTGTTGGAAGATAAAGAAGGAGGTAGTTTCTAGTTTAGTATGGAATGCCAGCCAAGGTCATTTACTATGTAGAGATATCCAGAGCCTCTTCAGGCTTCTTGGGAGTCATCTCAGGACAGAGACAGTATTCCTATTTAATCTGAGCTTGGAGCCACCCCTAGTTAATTTTCTTTTTGTGCAGACTTTAAAGAGAGAGAGAAGTAGTCTTTTCTTGAGTACACTTCTAGGAACATATGTTGCAATGTTCCCTTGAAGCCCGTGTGGTAATGGGTGGCAACCACAGGAGAAAAAATGTCACTATTCATCCCTGATAGACCCATTCTTTAGCTGATTGGTGTTGTTGGAATCTCTCTCTCAGAACAAATAGATGCTTCACGGCACAGTGGGAAACACCTTTAGTCTTGTTGACAGCGATCTGAAGAAGAGGCTGCAATGAAAATGCCAGTGCAATTTTAAACAGTAGTGATGTGAAACAGCTTCTTGGTAACACAAACCAATGAAAAACACATTAGGCTGATGTGAGCCGTTTCCAAAGGGCAAACCTGGACAATCCACCCACCGCAGAGAAAGCATTTAATATGAAACTTGACAAGAATAGATAGCCAACTGCATATCCTACACTTCAAAAAGAAAAATTGCCCTTTGAAACCAGGGGAGAGTGGCTTGGAATGCAGGCTGAGCTTCTCTTTCTCTCTCTCCTCTTATCTCTAAATAGCTTTGAACCCACATGGAAGTCACTTGAGGATACCCTTTTAAGGAATAATTGTTGGCTTAGGCTTTATGAATATGTTAAACTGAATAATTTATTTAAAGGGAATAGCAGCAAAGGCAGTGACTCATCTGAAGATGTTCTTTGCTGCCAAATGGATTGTCCAAGCAACACTAAAAATAGTTAATACTTAATTCTGTCTTAGGCCACTAACTTGAAATCTCCATTATTAATTAAAAGATGCACAAGGATGCAGGAGACAAGAGGTTCCTGGCAAATGAAATGAAATGTTCCTTCAGTGCCATGCTTGTTCAGCTGGTAGTCCACATTATCTCTTATATGGGTATGTTTTAATTTTAGGGTCTGATTACAAGGCCATCAATCATATGGTAGCTATGGGGAAAGCAGCCAATCAGAGCTTCCTGTACACTGGCCAGAGAATGTAATCAGGGCACATTTTCAGTTTCTGATAGGTTTGTTAAAGCAAAAGAGGACTAAGCCTCCTCACTATGGGAAAATACAGTGGTACTTTGGGTTAATTACTTAATTCGTTCAGGAGGTCCGTTCTTAACCTGAAACTGTTCTTAACCTGAAGCACCACTTTAGCTAATGGGGCCTCCTGCTGCTGCCGCGCCGTCGGAGCACAATTTCTGTTCTCATCCTGAAGCAAAGTTCTTAACCTGAAGCACTATTTCTGGGTTAGCGGAGTCTGTAACCCGAGGTACCACTGTAGCTGGAAAACTGATGGATGCCATCTTGAATTCCATGGAAGAAAGGTGGGATATTAATGTACTAAGCCAACTGAGTAATATTTCTTTCCAATAGCACCATAGAGAGTCTAGGGTGCTACTGGAAGGAATTTTTTTATTTTGTTTCGACTATGGCAGACCAAAACGGCTACCTACCTGTAACTATGAGTAATATTTGAGAGTTGTAAGCCTAAACTCTTTACAAAAATGAACCACCATCCTACCATGTTTTGTGACGGCTAGTCCTATAGTTCTGGAGATATTACCAGCTTTATTGAGATATTATAGTCCCATTGGAACTATGGAACTCCACAATAAACATACAGACTTGGAAGTGTCTCCTATTGATTCTCGTGGCTCTTGCTGCCAACCCAAATGTACTTTGGATCGAAGCCTTAATGATTCAAGTGCTACCTGTGTCTGCACTAATGATACCTTTCCACTGCCCAGGCCTCAGATGCGGCGGCAACTAAGACAGGATTGCCTTGTGGTCGTCTGCTAATAAGGAAAGGAAATGCGAGTAATGTGGAATCCTGCTCCCATAAAATATTCTGCCCAGTTTTATAAATCCAGGAAGTTTGGCTACTTCAAGTAAGTTTTGGAGAAGCACCAGTCAGGCTTTGAATGCCCAAAGTGAACCCAGAGTCCAGACTGTGGTGTGTGCAACTTGTTATAACTTGCTTTCTGTCACTTCCTGCACTTTGACATTCCCCCACCCCAAGCTTTGAAATCCATTTCTGACTCTGCCACAAGGAAGGAAGTAAAGCCATTTATTGCTTCTCTGCAGCTATTTCTACTGAACAAATAAGGTTGCCACCCGGTTGGTGTTTTCTCTCTCTCTCTTTTAATTAAGCATGGTCTTTTCTGGGTTGGAGCCTTTTATTCTTTATCTCCGCTGCCATTTATTTAGGTCCTTGCTCCATTCCTGTTTCAACCCCTGTGGGTTCAATATATTCCTACCTCTTATTATGTATTACATTTCATTCCTATCCTGCTCCATGGCAGAGATTCTGAGCAATATGCAAAATGTTTTACAATATTACATGTTATTAAAAAATAACTAAAGACTGGGACTTTCCTATTCACAGTGTTCTTTTTGGGAGGGTGTGCCATCTCTTCCACAGGGCTGACTCAAGATATCTCACTGCCTGAAGTGAAGCTGCCTTCATCCCCATTTCACATATTGAATGAGAGTTGCATACCCCTCAATTGTCCCAATTTGAGTGGGGCATCCTGGAATCACAGAAGCTATCCCAGCTTCTCATTGGATCCTGGAAAGCCGTGGTTTTCTCATCTGCTTGCTCATCCCAAGCACCAGACCAAAAGACACTCATTTCTTCGTTTTATGCTCTCATGCAGCCCTCATGCTAGCTCCCGCAAGAGCTTGGGACCAAAAAACGAGCAACCCAATTTTGATCACTGGAATGTTGGAGGGTATTTGTTACTTCGACACTGATGACTGGTGGGGAACATCTGCTACACCTGAGGGTAGCAGGTTAGTTTAGGGGGCACAGGTGCGCGACACACACAATTCTGCCCTCCAACAGAGGTGGAATGATCAGGAAGCTGTTGCCACTCCCCCCACCTAGCTTCCACTCCCTCACCAGCTACCTCACTCTGCCAGATGGTAGGGCCAGTCCTTCCCCAGATGTATTTTTCATCTGGCTAGTGGCTGTTACTATTGCATTTGCTTTTGCTCCTGCAACCAAAGAGTAGAGGCCAATGCTGCAGAGGAGAATCAAGGTCCCAGTTGCTATTTGTCCTTTGGACAATGGCTGGGCCAAGCTGACCTCCCCTCACTAATGATATCCACCCACCCCCATGACTCTGTAAAGTAGGCTAGGGGCAACAGGAGGAAGATATTTGCCTAGAGCTCTGCAGTAAGCATAATAAGTTGGCTGAGCTTTCAACCTGAGTTGCATAGAATAGGCTTACATGAGTACATTATTCTGCAATAACAATCCCTGAACAAACTTCATTGCATATTATATTCAAGGAAAGAACAAGGAGTTAAGAGTGAGTCAGCAACCCTGGCAAAATTAGGGTGATTAATTCTATAAGCAACAGAAAAGTTGGCACTCAGGAGAGTTTAAGCTCCAGAGAGGAGTACAGCAACCTACGTGTAACTGCCATATGTGTCTTCTGTATACATAGAAATGAAAGGGAGTTTTTGGAGCTAGCTAACAGAAGTGGTTTAGGGCTTCAGGCGAACTGCTGTGGCTTTAGCACTGATGCTTCTTTGGAGCTAGACCTACCTGCATGTATGCCTGCCTACTTTCTAAGGATGGCTGAGTACGTCAATTTTGGTTTCTCTCTGGTTTCTCATTTTCCCATTATTAAGTTTAGTTTGTGACGTTTCTATATCAGTGAGCATTTTTAAAATAAGCCTTCAAGAAAATTTGTCAGCAAATTTCTCCTAAAATTGCACATGTTTATATTGCAATTTTTTATAATATGCATATTTTCCCAATAGGATGCATTTTAAATGTTATTTTCAACAATATATGCATTTTTATAAACACTTTAGTATATGTAGTTTTGTACACATTAACCTCCGCTGCCTTGTGGGATAGCTTTGAGAGAAGAAAAGGCTAAGAAGTAAACCCTACACAAATTCAGAGTGGCGTCCCCAAGATGGTTGGGGCAACTCCTGCAACCAAGCTGGTGCCAAATGTATTGTTCTGCTTTTCTTTAGACTACATCAGTAAGGCGGAGAGGCGAGTCTGCCATCTGGGCAGCCCAGGATCACCATACACACTGCCCAGGCTTTCACTCCAGGGAAGTCACTTTGGTGTTGCTGATGTAGTACTTTGACTTCACCCCCCAGAGGCATACTCCACTGTCTCTCAAAACAGAAGGATGAGACCAACAACTTCGCTGGGGAACTACACTGCAAAATTCAGAGAAGTATGGCTGTGTTTCAATTCACATATTGTTTTCGAAGATGCAGATTAGGTTCACCTTTAAATATGAACTGAACTGAATTTCTCTCCACTCTCTACTGTGTTCTACTTATATCTTTATACATAAACAGATATTACAGAATGCTCTGGATCACAATCTAGTACAGAGCTAAGGGTGCTCTTAAGGCTACTGATGCAAATGGGGTTAAGTACATTTAATGTTGTGCTCCATCGTGGCTAGGGCTCACTGAAAAATGCCCCCCCCCTTCTCCATGCAACAGTTTGGTGGGGCGGGGAGCCTTAACAAGGAAATTACCAGATAATTTATCCAAATACTATTTTCTGAGACATTGTGGCTCAGCCCTGATAGTGGCCTGTAATTACCAATATCTGTTTACTTCTTAGTGATTAAAATAATCTATTTCTCACTTTTATTCACTTAAGTGTAGTTGAGGTGACATACAATAACTACAGTACACAAATACAAAATCATAAATGGGGCTGTAATCTTACCCCACTTATTTGGGAATAACTCACACTGAATTCAGTGGGATTTACTTCTGAGTAGACATATTAGACTTGCAGCCTGTGTCTAGTGCTCTCTCCAAAGAAAAGTAACCCTGAAAAGCATTTCTCACTGCTTGGGGAAGCATACAAAACAATGCATTCATTGAGAACTTTTACTTAATATATATGCTAAATCCAAAACAGTGTTACTGATCTCTACTCTGGGAATCCCAACCTTGACCCTTCTGGATGAGCCAAAAGTCAAACACTTTTAACAGGGCTTCTTCTCACATCTCTCTGTTTTCTGACACATTTCTAAGCCATGCCTTGGCCAGTCTGCATTCTGGTGTTAGGTATGGAGACAGATATGAATGTCAGCAATGCCTGGAATTTTCAGACATTCCTATGCTAATTTTCCGCCCACTCTGCTGAGCCACATTGTCCACCTGGGAGTTACTGGTAAATGCTGTGCTGTGCTATAAACATGTGCTGCGTATACTGTATGGTGGTGGGCTTCAAAGACATCTGAACAAGATCAGAAAAGAAAAGCCACCACACTGTTGTTAACATGTTGGGCTTAGAACACATGAACAGGATGAAAAAACGACTAAAGATGACACTGTGATCAACTAGTGAAAGTAATAAAGGTAAAGGTAAAGGTACCCCCGACCGTTAGGTCCAGCTGCGGACGACTCTGGGGTTGCGGCGCTCATCTCGCTCTATAGGCTGAGGGAGCCTGTGTTTGTCTGCAGACAGCTTCCGGGTCATGTGGCCAGCATGACTAAACCGCTTCTGGCGAACCAGAGCAGCGCATGGAAACACCGTTTACCTTCCCGCCAGAGCGGTACCTATTTATCTACTTGCACTTTGACATGCTTTTGAACTGCTAGGTTGGTAGGAGCAGGGACTGAGCAACAGGAGCTCACCCCGTCGCGGGGATTCGAACAGCCAACCTTCTGATCGGCAAGCCCTAGGCTCTGTGGTTTAGACCACAGCGCCACCCGCATCCTAGTGAAAGAATAGAGCCTGCATAATTGTTGCCAGCAGCCAGCCTAATTTCTCCCTGTTTTTTTGGCCCCTTGTAAATTCCAGCTTTGCCAATGTGGACCTTTTAGTTGTGAATTTGTAATATAATACTTTGGCATTCTCACCTTCTCCTTATAATTGCCTAGTCTGAGTACTGTGCTAACAGCATAGGTCACACAAGACATAATTCAGGGTCTGAACCATGCAAATGTAATCGCTCGTAGTTTCCTCACTCACTGTCTCCAGGCTTGCATGTGTACTTCCATTCAGTCAATGGCACAGAGTCTTACATGTTTCTTTGTCCCATTCTGGTAGACATCCCCATCACATTCACTCAGGTCCATCGTTCTTCAAACCTATTACCTACTTGGTTCCATTACTTCAATCAACACACCGATTCTTGGCCTTGTCAATGTTCCAATGATTCTTGGCCTTGACAACTTTCTAAGTCTTAACCTGTCCATACTACCTACATGTCAACACAGCTCCTCCACTCTCTACATCCTGTCTTTGCCTAGCCAAACTGGCTGTTCATTTCTGTCAAATAAGATGGCCCGTTTGTGAACATTCTGTTATTTGGAGCTTCAGTCTTTCAGCAGTTGGCATGGCATCATGTCATCGCAGCTGCTTACTTGCAGAGTCTGTACCATGGCCATCTTCACTACAAACCTCCTTAGCATATTACAATATGCATTTCTGCATCTAAGAAGACTTTTACTATATTTCTGTCACAATCTTTCTCTGCTTAAATATAACCAGTTGCTTACATGGCAGCTAGATGGCACCAGTTGCTATAATACTTTCTTTTTAATTTTTGTTTTAATCAGTGCTTGTTTGGAGAGCTTTCCTGCTCATCTTTCTCAGCTATTCCTTTCGCCCAAGGCAATAGCTTTAGAGTGAAATGAAGACCATGAGTTTGAGATTATTACTCAGAAACTTAAAGGAAATTTGTTTTCTTATCAGTTTATCACCGATGCAGGATGAATTATAATTGAAAAAGAAAAGTGAAAGACTATCGTCATTTTGTTTTTAAAAATGAACATTTCCAGCTGTGGTATCTGTCATGGCTTGACTGTTCCAGCTTCAACAGATGGTGAATAAAAACCTATAAACATATTTTAATAACTCATTTTATAGTATTTTATGAAGCAATCTTATACTCCTTGGAAAGGCGGTGGAGGGGCTGTGAGATGCCATGGGGCTCCCTTTCTGTGGTCAGAGGCCTCATCACTACAGCTGTAGAATTTTTATGTTGTGAACTGCCCTGTGAACATCTATGGATGACGGTGGTATAAAAATGTATTTAATAATGATGATGATGATAATAATGTAAATAATAAGAGTTCTCATTACTCTTCTGCCACTGGAGCTGCCACGGTGATAGGGGCTGAAAAAGGGAGATGGTGGGGATATGGTGGGATCATAGAATTTTAATGTTGGAAGGGACCCCATTCAACCCCCTGCAATGCAGGAATATCAACTAAAGCATCTATGTATGGCAAGTGGCCATCCAACCTCTGCTTAAAAAGCTCCAGAGAAGGAGAGTCCACAGCCTCCCAAGGGAGTCCATCCTACTGTGGATCACATGGATCTTGGATTGGAAGGATCCAAAGCCCTCCTGTTCCCATCATAAGCTCTCACACCAACTGAAAAAAAATATTCTTGGAGCTGGCATGGTTAATTTCCCCCTCATTGAAGTTGATGGGAGGAAAATTAGGAAGCACCCATCCCCTGCAGGAAAAAAAGGAACAAGTTGCTGCTATCTTTTTATTGTGGCTGGCGCAAGCTGGCAGCGATTAGAAATTGATGGTTTCTCTGCCAAGGAACAACCTCCCCTACGTTCTCATTAAGATTGCTCTGCCCTTGTATCTTCTAGCTAAGTGTTTTGGTATGTTGGTTGCAACAGTGGCTAATAAAATCACTCAAACGAAGAAGCAAGCAAACAAATAAATGTTGCAGTTATGGTTCAGGGGATATCTTTCTTTTAAACATACCAGTTCCAAATACAAGGGGTGATATTTGAACTATGTTTTACTCAGGGAAGATGCATTGAAACTAACAGTCTCTACTCTGAGTAAAACTTATATCACTCCATATAATTATGAAAGTGTTTTCCGGGTGTAGCTGCAGGGGAGGGGCATAACTTCTGATTATGTAGATGAATTTGAAAGTGTTTGGTTGATGGCTGGTGACATTCCAGATCAAGGCTTTCTCTACGTTCTCCTAGCCTCTCCTCACCATTAGAATAAATTGTGCAGAATAAACAAATGATGTCCATTTTTTTCCAGTTTCTGCAGGTGGCAGACTTCAGCTTTGCTTAAGATTGAAGTTGCTGGATATTTCCTTCCCCTTTACACAGAGTGTGTAGCCCTGACTGTAGACATCTGTCAACAAAAGCAACCACCAAGCTGGGCCTCCTAGCTGAGCACATGCTATTTATTTATTACATTTGTGTTTCCACACCACGTTCCTCCAAGAAGTTCAGGGTGGCATTTGAGCCTGATGAATGTGAAGTAGCTTTAGCTGAGAGAGAGAAACCCAGTGATTTGCCCAAGGCCACCCAGTGAGCTTCTTAGCTGCGTTTCCCAGGTCCAAGCTCAACACTTAACCATCACACCACACTAGAAGAAGCTAGATCCACAATTAATTTTTAATTGGCCTCTTCAGCATCTGGTGACATCACATGGAAAATTTAAACATAAGCAAAACCCACAGAGAAGAACAATAGTTTCAGGAATGTGAAGAGGCATTCTCTTGTCTATGAAGAGATGTTTTCCGTTTCTAAAGCTCCTCTACCTGACTTTTCTTTTCACCTAGTTTGTAACAAATGGAGCAGAACATCCCTTCCTGAACACTTCAGGAGCAAAAACAAATGGGCCAACTTGAAAAAGTCAGAAAGAAAGGTGGTTATTCAGCCCTGACTACCTCTCAAGAGAGCCCAGGAGACACACAGTAAAGCTGTACAGCTAGTTGCACAGAGCAGAGCTCCGGAGCTCAAGCATGAAATTGCACCCTCCAGTTGCCAAGCCTCATTTACTTTTCTCTTTGGTTTCCAGCAAGGGTTTCTCTGAGTAACCAACCACTATACTGCTTCAGCAAAAAGAGGGAGAGAAATAAAGGGGTGGTAGAAGCAGTGAATTTACTCACTTATAAGTTGATGCACAATCTAGTTCAGGGATTGGGACCCTCTGGCTCTCCAGATGACTCACAGCCCTGACCATTGGCATGATAGGAGCTGGAGTCCAGCAACATCTGCAGGGCCACAGGGTCCCCATCCTTCATCTAATTAATACTAAAGTGGTTCGCTGGAACCTATTTAGTGCCTGGTGAAACAGGGTAGCCATGGGTGGAATCCAGCATACCACTTCTCAATCACACCTCCAACTTCTTTCATTGGCCAACAGGCAGAAATGTCCAGGCTGCAATTAGAAGGATATCTCCCCAAAACTTTATGCTTCATCAGTGGCGTAGCGTGGGGGGTGCAGGGGGGGCTGGCCGCACCGGGTGCAACATCTGGGGGCGCGCGCGCTCACACTCGCAGCTCTCTGCCCCTACCTGGCTCACTCGGGTTAGGGGGCGCAAATTACTTGCCTTGCCCCGGGTGCTGACAACCCACGCTACGCGACTGTGCTTCATAACTTTCTTTCTAGAAGGGCTAGAGTTTAGTTTAGTTTTTAAATGAAAGCTCAGAGTCACTTCTGAAAAACTGTTCCAGATGCCCACTGAAATGGCATGGGAGGGGGCATGGAGGCTTCTTAGGGAGGGTCAATTCTCCAAAATCAGAGAAGCACCTTTTGTGAATTGCTTTTCAGGGGACTGGAGTGTGGAGGAAGCAGCAAACAAGTTCTATTTTGTCAGCTTCTTTCAGCTTATCGTTGTCAGAATCCAATTCAAAGAAAATCATAAATATTTTTTTAAAATCACTACTATAAAAACTACCAATATTTGAAATCCAGCCTAAATAAGAGACTTACAATGTTTTCTTTCATCCTGATGATGGTGCACAGCAGGGCCACAACCAAGAATGCCCCATGTTGTGTACCAAACAGATTTTACTTCACCAAAGAAGGGCCTTGAACAGAGCCTCACTGTACAACAAATTGAAAACTTGAAAACAAGTACATTTAAGACTTAGAAATTAAGTTGCATACTTCGCATTGTCTCCTTTTAAACAAAAACAAGTTGCATGGGCATGCAACCTCTTTTGTGTGTAAAGTACTTTAATTTGGAAATTTTAAGGGTTTAATGCTGTCCGTTATGGAAAAGAAAACAATTAATATTGCGGAGGTGGCATGGAATGCTTATTTCTCACACATGTGGGTCAGGGTTTGTGTTGAGTAATTCTTCGCCAAGTTGGTTAATCACTGTGTTATGCAAGGAATTTCTGTATCCTAACCAAAACAAGCCAGGGATTCTCTTTAGCCGCATCATAAAATTGTTATGACGTCTCTCGGAGTAGAAAAAGGATACACACATATACACAGTCTTTGTCCGTAAAAGATTCCTGTCTCTCATTTGGGGTTTTTTTATGTTATTGGCAAATGCGGCTGGAGCAGTGGAACAAAAGCAAATACTGTCTTTGTATTTTCAACACAGACAAAGGGTGGATTCTTCCATTTTGAAACATGTCACAACAGGCTACTTTGAGTTGTTCTTGAACCTTGACCAAGGCTTTTGTTGCTTCCATTCAGTGGTTGAAACTAGCAGACAAAAATGGTAGTGATTATTTAAAATAAGGGGGCGGTGGTGGAAGAAACTTGGGTCTTGCTCTGTTGTGTTTCCTTCCCTTCAAAACTCAGATTGGTCCCATTTAGTTGGATTCTAGCAATCTGAATCGTCAAAATCCTAGAGCAATTGTTCCATCTGATGTTTGTTTAGAGAACATGGGGGGGGAGTGCATGTGGGGATGTATTCACATGAAATATTCAGTGAAATTGACAAGGCAAAATAATCTCATTTAAAAATTGTGATCTCCACCTAGAATAATCTTAAATAGCTAGGCTAAGAAAGAACTACAGCTGTGTCTGGCCCAAGACAAGTCAGGGCACATAGTAGTATCCGGATACCCTAGGCCAGCCATGTTATTTTGGTACCTGAGACAGAAAATCTCCCCCTGCCTAACAGAAAAAATACAACACAATCAGTTTAAAAATACAATAATAAGTTTCAAGGTCTAAGTCCTTTCAAGGTGTCCAAAATCAGCTGCCCATTCTGCTGAAAACCTTCTATGCCGCAAAGCTTATGCAGGCAATTAAGATAAGTATCTTTCTGTTAAAGTTAGTTGATCTCTGATTTTAATTTTTTTACATGATTGCTGTAAACCACTTTGTTTGTTTGTTTAAAAAATAGTAGTATACACATTTTTAATAAATAAACCAAACTCACTATGTCTTTTTAAATTGAGTTTGGTACAGCGTAAGAAAAAAAGTTATCTACCCCTGCTGAGGTAAGGTCACACTGCACTCACAAATTTAGATGTTTAATGTGATACATTCCCTGCCTTTCTGTTTGACTTGAGAGCTATAAACACAACAAGAATTTCCTTTAAGAAATGCTATGGCAATGTCACATGTAAAGCATTTGATTTTTCATACTCTTGAGGTTTATGTAGCCATAAATCGAAAGGCTGTTGCATGAAAAGTTTGTCTATTGTGATGCCATCTCCTTTTTTTCAGATTACAGTAAGATTTATGAATAAAGCAACTGCAAAAAAGACCTTTAAACTAGTGTCTCATCAAAATAATTAGATTTATTGTTCATGAATGACACTGAACTGGTGTTCGATTTAAAACAAACTCCTGTTACCCTTTCCACAGATATATGTTCTATTATTCATGGGCCTGGTCTGACTCTTCAAATCTATTTATCATTTATTTTAAAAATTGGACACTGCCGTTTCTTTTAACTCTTCATAGTCTCTTGACATATGTGGACACTTTATATCAGCACATCAATTAGGTAAACCTCATTTCTTCCAGACAATGCAAAGCAAATAAGACTTGGTGTAGCTGCAAACTTTTGTTCTGCATCAATTTATCATGATTTGTGGTGTTCAGATAATGATAACGCGATGTGGATCCAGTCTTAGTTCTCTGAGAGAACTTACATTTAAAGAAATAGATGGTTGGAGGGGGTTTGGAATTACATTTACAAAACTGGATTTGCTGGAGATTTACTAGGCTTCAATAAGCTGGTGGTGGGGAAAGTCTAAAGAAGGGATAAGCAGATTTAGCGAGTGCACTAAAAGGAAACAGTACTTCCTCGAAGTGATTCTCAGTACTGTTTTGAAGCTGCTTACTTCCTATTTTGATACCTACAGCAACAAGTGGCCAGGCTAGTCTCTGATTGGCCTCGGGCTCTGTTTTGTTTATACCAGCTTCCCATCAGGAAGCAATCATGATAAACTCTGTGACTCTGTGCTGGATGGTTTTTCCACACTGTGTTATTGCTTTTAACTGATAATGATGGGAACACGGTGCTCTATTCTTGTACTGATTTATTAGGAAGGCTAGGCTGAGCTACCTTTTTTTCCTGCAATGTAAGTGCTTTTTTCCGCTAGAAGAATAAGATACAGAAAAACACTAAACATTTTGCAGCTGGAAGCTGTCTCGTGATCAATGTGCCCTCCTGCTTGAAAATGCTGCTATGCCTGAGGTTCTTTTTCCTCTGAAACACACACTGATAAAATGTGGCATACTGAACAACACAAAAAGTTCAGTCCCTTAAAATATACACACACAAAACCTAATAAGTACAGCTGCATATATTAACCCCATGGAAACCTGCTGGAGAACATTGCCAAATTATCATTATACAACATCCCTACTTGCAACCCCTGAATCTGCCCTCCCTTTACTTGCCATGTGGTGGGAGCTGGTAAATGCGTAAGCCCAGTTCCTCCCTATCTCCTCAGCTGTTTCCTAGTATTGGCAGCTAAATATGCTGCTCAATGGACCAAAGTTGTGAGTTTTCTGCCCTACTGACAATCAGTTTCCCCAGAATATCTCAATAAGTTGGGGCATGACTCAAATTAAAGACAATTTTGGAACAATGTCTGGTTATAATGCTTGTTTTCAAGCTTGTATAACAGGCCAGTGGTAGAATCAGAAGCCTTAAAAAAATGTCATGATGCACCCAATTGAGCAGAATTGGTTGTAGCAACAGTGGTAAATTTTAAGGAGAGAGGTCTGGTGCAGATGTAACTTTCTGTGGCGTTAGATTGTGCTTTGTGGAAACAGACTTTTTACTGCTGCTGTGAGTCACTGTGGAGGAAACAGCTGTGGAACACCTGATCTAACAAGCAAAATTTCAGAGATGCTGAACCACCTGACTGTGGAATAAAGACTGATTGTACAAAAACTGTTGGCGAACCCTTGCATTCCCCAAAAGAGCAATTCAGTGGTGTTAAATGTTTCTAGTACTTTAAGACGATGGGGTTTTTGGTGTGCCTGCGTGTGTTATCTGAAAGGAGCTTTTTGATTTGCTAGATTATAGTTATGTCCTAATTTGGAATCTTTCAAACACCCTTGGGTTTTAAGAGCCTGGAAAAAACCGCAGTGACTATATTTGGTCCAGGATTTGTTACTTTATTGAAGCATTCATTGGTGATTTACAGGAAATTATGTCACCTTGCTCATAGTTGCCCTTAGAGAATCAAGACTCTAAGGACCTGAATGTGCTTTTAAGCACACCATCAGATGTGCTGAAGCAGCTATTGGAAGTCAGTGGAGGCTAGAAGAGTCACTCAGGGCAGGGAGTGAATTCTGCCTCCTAAACACCTTGGCTATAGGGGAGGTGTTATGGGGGTGTCCAGCTGCTGTGCTGCTGGCTATATAAGAAGAGTTAGGGCCTTTAAACAGATGATATTTTCTTTCCAAGCACAGGCCCCTCTAGTAATTCTTCCACCGGTTCTGTGCTCACTCTCCAGTTCCTGCTGCTGCCCTCTTCCGGGTCTCCCACATCTGCCTCATTCTGACAACTCAGCATAGGGCATTCTTCACCCTTGCTGTCACTCCCCGCTCCCCAAGCAAGCCTCTTCCGGTTAATCCTCGCCCTCAGTGCCAGTCTCCTTCTCCTGTGAGGCATCCCAGCATCCCCTTCCTTCTCTGGCACCCGCTGCTGTGCCCTCTGTGTTTGGCTGATCCATGACACAACTATACCAGTTCTATGATTCTATGAAATGTGGTTAATTGACTTTACTTGAATTTGCTGGTATGTGACAAAATCGCACCTTGAAAATGACAACTGTCTGGAAGCACCCTTGGCTTTCAGATTTTAAAGCAGCGGCAACTTGGAGTCTGACTGGGTGGTAAAACAATCGATGGCAGCTTTGCCATTCACTCATCCACTCCATGCACCATCTAAAAAACCAACACCACAGTTGTTATCAGGCTGACTGTGGCAGATGAGAATGTGCTTTTAGTGGATGTCTGAAGGCAACTTGGATGCTTACATGCCCATAAGGAAAAATGGAATCCCTTACCACTGAAAAATATTTGATCATGTTGTTTGGGCTAAAATGACCACCCAGATATTGCTGCAGACCCACAAAAAGCCAGATTAGACAGATACAGCTAGTATTATGTCGTAAAACTGCCAGATTTGGATTCTGGTGGACCACAAAAGCATTCCACATAAACCAACCAATATTCAGCTTCTTTTAAGTCTGACTGTTTCAAAGCTATTCAGGATATGAAGCCATAAAGGATAACCAGCACTATGTAAATAAAGACGTGTGTGGTCATTGTATTTAGAGGTACTTTCAAACATCAGATAATCGGCCTCAGCACAAGAGCCTGGGTTTATTTGATGTATTTATTTATTTGCATTTCTATCCTGCCCTATTCTGAAGGCTCAGGGTGGGTGCAAGCAACTATAAAAGATTAGGATAACAATAACATTCTAAATGTATAGCCCATAACATTGCAAAAATGTTAAAATTCTGGGAAAATAAATAAATCCCTTAGCAACAGCATAACCCTGGAAACAAAACAATTTGCAAAGAGGTCTTGCGATAGGTATGGGGAACCTGTGGCCTTCCATATATTGTTAGATGCTCCAGCCACCATGGTCAGAGAAAATGCAAACTGTAGTCCAACAACATCTGGAAGGCCACAGGTTCCACAACTCTGCCTTACAACAATGATCAAGTCCCTCAGGCTTGGATTTAGTAGGTCTCCAAGGGAACCTCTTCTACGGATACCCCTGTCTCAGAGCTTAGACAGTTGATCACCAGGAAGAACGCCATTTCAGTGGTGGCAACCCATCTGTCCCAGGCAGATCCATAAGGCCCCAACATTGTTATCTTTTAGACACCAGGCTTAAGAGAGCTTGATATTCTCTAAGGATGACTGTGGTTGACCTGTGGTTCAGCAACTTTTATCTAAATGGATTTTTACAGGACTTTATTCATTTGTTTATTTAAGGAATTTAGACCCTGCTTTTCACTATATTCCTCAGTTCTTAGAATGGTTTACCAGTCAGTCAATCCCCTCTTACTCAATACTTCAGCCCAAACAGGCTCCCCGATGAAGACAATTTTCTTCTGGCAGGCTTTTTATTAACACCAGTATTTTAAGCTAAATTTTGATGTTTAAATTATATGCTATACTGCTCTTTTTAAAATTTAATTGTATATTTATTGAAGGTTGGCTAATTTGTTGTGTTGAGTTTTTTCCCTTTTTTCCCTAAGGCTGCTTCTTTTAGTATTGGAATGGTATTTCATTATACTGTTTCGTTTCAATGTTTTATACGTTTTTAAAAAAAAAAATTGCAGGGGTGCTTTGAAAAGTGGGATAGAAATGCATTAAATAAATAAATAAATAAATTTTGTTAGCTCTGTGAAGTAGATAGATGGGTTACGAATTATACAAATGGACAAATATATTATTTGATTTCGTGTAAGACAGCTTCCCATGTTCCTGTGAATAATATAGCTCTTCTTTCCTCTGCTAGTTAATAAATACTAGTACTTGGCTTACCACAGGAATGTCTGCTATTTTTACAAGACAGTAAGATTAACTCACACAATCCTTACCAGTACGCCACAAGCAGGTAACAAAAGGAAAGGAGGCACAGCGCAGTCCTAGCAAGCAGATAGTGCCAGATGTCTCACACTGCCAAGCCTCATGCTGTAAGAGAAGAAGAGGAAACCAGAGAAGAACATCAGACAGACTGCGGGTAGAAGTAATTCTACATCTAAGCAAGACCAACAGAGTGAAGGAAAACCAATATAGGGACGGGTTCACACATGCATGTTCGTCATAGGATAGTGGTTTCCATTAGCTGATCTGATTTGCTTGCACAAAACTTATGTGGGGGTTAGGCTATAGCCTGTCTTTACTGATCATTCATTCTGATTTGTTTGTGGGGATGTTATTCAGCAATGAGCATTCATCCTGATTTTCTTATGTGGTGTTTATAACGGGATAGTTCAGTTGGGACCCGAACATGAGACTTTTAATCTCATGGTCGTGGGTTTGAGCCCTACACTGGGTGCAAGATTCCTGCATTGCAGGGGTTGGACTAGATGATCCTTATGGTTCTTTCCAACTCTATAATTCTGATTCTCTGATCTTCCCATTAATCATTCAGTCCATTAATCATTCAGTCATCCCACATTTCCTATGCATTTTCCTGTCACCTTCCTAACAGCAATAAATATTTTTTAAAATAAAAAGTGAATTTGTTGTGGTTGGACAACAGCAATCTTTAAACTATTGTGTAAACCTAAATTTCTGGTATATGACTGATTCCCTCCCACAAAATATGGACAAACTAGGCATAAGCAGTTTGCAGCTTCATAATAAAGGTTTGCATGTGCAAATTAGTCATTAGAATCTTCCAGCACCACAGGCACAACTTTCATATCCTCTCATGCTCAATGCTTTACAATGGGGTGGGTGCGGTCAGTGCATACTTTGATCTGCTGTCAATCAAATGCAGAGAAATCATATGAAATAAAACATTCCATCGCTTGCCCTTTAGTAGAACATGGCCATATCAAGATACATCTAGGGGAAAATGTGATCCAAATGTTTTACAGGCTTAATTACAGATCATGCAAAGAGTCACTTCTTCCTTCATCTTACTCAGACTAAACATTTTAATAACAAGCCACATAAAAATCCAATTACAGATTTTCAGCAAAGGAAGGGCAGTTTACAATGTCATACTCACACCTTATAAAGACACGTATTAGATTTTCTTAGCTTGCTCGCACTGTGGCTCATATATTTACTCAGCCGCAAACAAGCGAACAAATGTTTGTCTTTTTTTAAAAAAAGCTGACAAAAGTGAATGACTTTAAATGTATTTCTCTGTTAGCAGTTTTTGGCATCGTTTTATATCTTCTTAATTGGGTGAAAATCATTTGAAAACTTAAGGCAGCTGAGAGAACAGTTTTGCAACTGAAAGAACTGAAGATTAGACAGTAATTCCTGTGCAGCTTGGGGCACAATTTTCTGCAAAAATTAATAATAATAAAAATAATATATATCTCACGTTTCATTGTGTAGGTCTCAAAGCAAATGAACACAAACATCCCCTCCAACATTTCTCTGATGAAAATAGGGACGTCCCGTCCATAGTGATAATTATACTATTTATACCCCACACATCTTACTGGGTTGCCCCAGCCACTCTGGGCAGCTTCCAACATATATAAAAACACAATGAAACATTAAATGTTTAAAAAACCTTCCCTATACAGGATTGTTTTCAGACAGCTCGGGGGTCAGATAACTCCATACCCTCCAATATTTCTCCAATGAAAATAGGGACATCCTAAGGAAAAGCAGGACATCCAGGATCAAATCAGAAACCGGGGCAACTTCTCTACATCAGGGACGTCCCTGGAAAATAGGGACACTTAGAGGGTATCGAGCATGCTCAAGAGTGCCCAAGAAATGGAATGGAGTTATGATGATGAAAGCGTGTGATGATGCTAGTCAGAGTAGGTTCAAATTTCAGTGGCTCCCATTATGTCCAATATAAAGGTAAAGGGACCCCTGACCATTAGGTCCAGTCGTGGCCGACTCTGGGGTTGCGGAGCTCATCTCGCTTTACTGGCCGAGGGAGCCGGCGTACAGCTTCCGGGTCATGTGGCCAGCATGACCAAGCCACTTCTGGCGAACCAGAGCAGCACATGGAAACGCTGTTTACCTTCCCGCCGGAGCGGTATCTATTTATCTACTTGCACTTTGACGTGCTTTCGAACTGCTAGGTGGGCAGGAGCAGGGACCGAGCAACGGGAGCTCACCCAGTCGCAGGGATTCGAACAGCCGACCTTCTGATCGGCAAGCCCTAGGCTCTGTGATTTAACCCACAGCGCCACTCGTGCCCCTCATGTCCAATATAAGACAAAGTAAATGGTCTGTATTCAGCATGACCAGGGGGAGGGGGGGAAAGCTGCCTTCTCTCAGAAAAACAGAAGCCAACAAGTGTAGAGTTTTAACTGTTCCAACCCCCTCCCAAAGTTATCTCCTTTAAGTACACTTCACTCCTATGTACTTACACTCCTATGTAAGTAAAGGATATTAATTCCTGTAGGAAGCATTAAAGTGATATGCTTGGTATTGCCAATGCACTGAGAGCAAACCCTCAGGATTGATGTGCTTCCATCACCACCGTGCATAACCACATGGTGTGTGGAGCCGGCACACTGCATGTTCTCCCCTTCTGGCGAAAGACTTTCTAATGAAAAAGCCTTATTTCTATTACTACCTGCTGATAATAATTATGAGCATTTTCCTTGCTACTAGAGAGACTTTGACACATGTATAAGGCACCTTTCCAATCTGACCAAGGGCAGTATTCAAGTAAATAATTGCGTAAGTAGAAAGTATTCTGTTCAGGCCTGTGCCGAGCCTGTCTGAGGCCCAGAGTGGAGTTAGAATGAAGTTCTAAACTAAAAAACGTAGCTGGTCCCCAGTGCGGTGCCTTGGCTGGCTTAGCCCTCCAAGGTCCAGAGCAAGTGAACCTGGCTGCCCCCCCTCCAACCATGGGCCTGCTTCTGCTTCCACAACAAGACTTCCACCCCCCTTTCCTCCCTTGCCTGTCCCCAGATGTGTTCTGGGGGGTTGGGGGGACCCCATAACAGATGTAGTGAGTGTGCAGGGGGGGGGGGGAAGTCCCACTGTGCAAGTGGAAATGGTTCTGTTCATGCAACACTGCCCCAAGCAATTGCGGCTTGCTTCCACATATGTGAGATTCCAAACATCTGAAAAAACAGCAGGTCTTTGTGAGTCACCAACTTTTGGTATGCTTTCCCCCAACAATGACTGGCCTTTCTTCTTATTGCTTGCCCTCGTACCCTGAACACTCTACTTTTAATTCTGCTGCTGTTATTGTGAATCACTTCATACAGCAAAACAGTGATTCTGTTTTTCTGAAAAAGGTAGTTATTGGGGAAATCATTTGCAAGTCATACTGTAGACTTGGCAACTTGCCAGCAATCCATTATGAAGTGATCACCGTCTGTTTAATGGGAAATCCCAGTTCTTATTCCCTATGGGGTTTTTGGTAGGTCTGAAGTATATCTTTGTGGTTAGGGGGAAAAGACATTTACTAAGGAAGCAATGTGTTATGACCTCAGGCAGTGTGCCAAGTGCAATAAAAACTCACTTTTACATGTCATTTACGCATTCAGAAAGATTTAGAGAGACTCTGCTGCATATCTCTTCATACAGTTGCCAAACTTCTGTAGGCTCTTATCCTCAAATATAATGAGGCAACATTTAACACTTCTCTATAGACCAAGAGTCAGGTTTTTTCCATCAAAGTTTTCCATTGTGTATTTTCCCTTAAAACACTGCTGCTCTTTGGTATCTTAGGGTGCAGAGTTAGCAGAAGGAAAACCCTCCCAAACTGATTATGTATAACTGTTGACTGCACTAGCTCTGTATATGGAACACTTTAATCCACCAACAGTAATATCCACAGCAAGCAGATAAGCAGGTACTTTTGTATCGTCCATGCTGCCAAGTCAGTTTACTCAGTCATGGCGACAGTGAATTAATTTACAAATGTGGCAAACTACTGCTGCAGATGTTGTTTCATAAAACCTCTTACATTAACTACACCTCTGTGGAGCCTGAGTTGAGTAACCAGGTACACCCCATACATTTAAAGTACATGACTTCTCCCAAAGAATTCTGGGAACTGTGGTTTGTTAAGGGTGTTGGGAACTGTAGTTCTGTGATGGGTGAACTACGGTTCTGACTGGGGGGTGGGGCAGGTGGGTGCTGTTGTTTAAATGCACTTTAAACATATACGTAGTTTGTTTTCAGCCAAAGTAGCAAGGAACCCATGTCTCTAAATGGAAAAGACCACAGGAAAAAGAAAAAGGAGTTGCACAGGATTATAGGGAGGGGTTTGGGTTGCAGAGCAGGAGAACAGGGGAGCAGAAAAAGCAAAGACATGTAGTAGAGAAAGGGCTGCTCTGGAAAGTGGAAGCAACAGCAGGTATAGCTTTGCTAAACAAAGGGAAATGGTATTAAGAAGAGGCACCAAAACATAGTTAGGAAAGAGGGAGGAAGTCTGACTTGGTTGATATCCTGAGGGTAAATCTCTTTGGTCATATAAATGCATCACTACTTTTAACTTGGATTTTGTTATTTCTCTTATACATACTGTGATGTATGAATTCAGATAAATAAATGTATGAATGCCTGTTCTGGGTGAGTTGAAGTGAATTGAAGGAACATTCCAGACTCTTGTTTCTGGACTATCAAATTCACATTGGAATAGGACTCTTAAACAAAAAATGGATATAAATGTTCTGGGCTTAACAAGGCAGCAGGGTTGCAGCCTTGTGGCTGAGATGAAAATAGGACATTTAAAAGCATACACTGCAGGAAAGAGAAAACATGGCTCCTCCTCCCCATTCCTTCCCCAGGCCTCTCATTGCACAACCAATGAGGTATGAATAGGTGACAGCAGCAGTTTGGAAAAGAACAATCCTGACTTTCTGCTCGAATTGGAGATTTAAAAATTGTTCATATTGGAGCTGTACAGAGGCAACCCTGCAATCCAGGGAGTGGGGTTTTCTGCTAGGCCTCTAATGCAAGCTTTTGATAACCAGGAAGCAGCTCCCCAAGGCCCAGCCTCCATATTCTGAGGAGAAATTAGTAATGAATAAATTAGTAATAAATAAATAAATTCTGAGGAGAAAATTAGAAGTAAATAAATAATAAGTATGAGGGAGGTTTGCCTTGATCTTTAGACAGGAGTCGCTCCAAAGCTTCGTGAACTGGATTGTAAACCTGTGATTTTAAAAAAGGGCTGGGTCAGCTATTGGACCTAGGGCACTTATTAACTGTTCAGTATGTGAAGTAGGGTGGATTCTTATCAGTTTGAGGAGGGAGCCAGGATAGTTTTGGTCAGAGAATCAAAGTGGGTTATGAGGCTCCCTGCAAAAAAAATTACACCACACCACCCTTCTCAGATCTGAAGGTTTGTGGTATACTCAGCAAAATACCTGATGCCAAGCTGGAGACAAACTATCAAACGGGAAGCCAACATCTCTGACAGTTGGTAACCCAGTTTCTGACACAGATTATGAACCAGGGTTTGGGGTTTGTTTGGTTTCTTCCTTCCAAGGGAAACAGAGAAGCTCCTTTGATAGCGAAGGATTGCGAAAAGCAGCACTGCTGAATTCAACTTCCCAGTGTTTCTAAGAGTGAAGAAACACCTCAGTCTCAGGCTTGCTGCAGCGAACATCTTTCCCTCTTCTTTCTTTCTTTCTTTCTTTCTTTCTTTCTTTCTTTCTTTCTTTCGGTATGCCTTAATTAAATGTGTTTCTAAGAGTGAAGAAACACCTCAGTCTCAGGCCTGCTGCTGCAGCAGACGTCTTTCCCTCCTTTTCTTCCTTCCTTTTGGTATGTCTTAATTCAGTTTTGTGACGTCTGTCTTTCCTTACCTTGCTCTTTTTCATCAGACTTCCGTAGATTAGTTTTCTGATAAAGTTCTGGGTGTAGGGCGTGTGGGTTTCTAGATTTTTAATGGTTCTCATTTTTATATGTAGACTGTCATGAGTTCTGTCAGGGAACAAGGTGGGGCATAAGTAAATAAAAAATAATGATAATAATAATATTCATGTTAATAAACCAGAGTGTTAGGACTCTTCTTCTCAAGGCTTTACAGTTTTAGAGGATTTCAGGCTGAGGAACTGCACTTGTTTATAGAACTGAAGCTCCCTTCTCTTTATCCATTCCCCATGTGTCTGAGGGGGACAGAGAGTAGGAGCTCTCATTATGGTGACAATAACATTTCGTTGTGATTATTTGTATGCTATTAATTTTAATCATATTTAGATAGATAGTTTTAATTCTATAAATGTTTAATTGTTTTTAATTACTCCATTTTCTATGTTTTCAGCGGTTCTTACTTTTACCTGTAAGCTGCCTTGAATCCTGTCAGGAAAAAAGGCGGGGTATAAATAAATAAGTAATAATAATATAATAACATTATGGTAATATAGAGACAAAAGAAAAGTATAGTGCTATTTAAACAGGTTGTAGTGTAGCACAACTGCAATGAAAAGCGTTTAGTGCAGTAAATTAGCACCCAAATTTTTAATGCTTTTTTTAAAATGACAGAGGTTTTCTGTCGATTAAGCAGTATGTGAATTCTGTTAAGTAAATAAAAGAAACACCTTTCTTTTAGTGTTCGCATCACTGAAATATTGCCTCAGAAATTGCTCCCATTGTTCATTTATGAAGGAGAAAATTCTGCTAAGCAATATGCGAAGAATGATACAAAATCAAATAGATACAACTTAAATGGAAAAAAAGGATTGGAGAAGATAGAGGTGGGCCAGGCAGGAGAGAGAAGATGCAGCGTTTATGTATATTCACTTGATATAATAACCATGGAGAAGTGCCATGGAGGAGACTTGTGGGGGTGAGGAGCTGAATGAAAGTTGATTCCAGTCACTGCAGCAGAGTGGGGACTTCTCTGCCATTCTGTCACTGATACCTGCCAGGTGGAACAACAAAATTTGGGAACTGGTTTTGGGGAAGGAGGAGCACACCAGGGAACTACACATTTTGGCTTCTCCAACTAACCAGCCATTATTTATGCCAACCTGCCAAACTTTATCAATTTCTCTCCAGATGGTGGGTCTCCCTTAGGGTGCATCCAGATATGTGTTTATTGTGGGATTGGTGCTCTTCGTACATGGTAGGGTTTTGTTTTGTTTTTTGGCAGTGTTGAAATGGCATCATCATTGAAATGCCAACCACATCCTCCCTCCCCACAATTTAATTAGGATTTACTCTTTCCAGCAAAAATCAATACTTTTGTTGCCCTGGGCTTCAGAGCTGACTGAAAATTATTCTCTGATGGGTGACAGATCATCAAGTAGACCATAGTATTTAGAAATACCACCTGTGTTATATACCCACACCACATTCCCCATTGTAGCTGCTGGTGGTTGGTTGCAGATTTGCAACATGATGGTGGTGTTCAGTTCTAGATCCATCACAATAGCAAGGCCCCTCTTGACAGCATCTCCATGACAGGGCTATGTAATGTGTTGTGGCTCTCGGTCAATGAGAGCTGTTTCAAATAACATTTCATGCTGAATTATACTTTCCCTGATTATCATGACTTTTCTTTGCGTGCACGGAAAATACTCTGCTTAACAGTGTAGGATTTTAATGACCATCTGTTGTTTTTTTAATGTGTGTATTTTAGTGTTACATTTGGCACATGAAGTTCTAAAATGGCTGGGAGGAGGTGTTTGGAAAAGTTCAGTCCATATTTGTACAACTGCCACTGTTTAACGAACATCTCTAGCAACAGGGCAGTTTCAAAGTCTGAGATGGTATACTATTGTAAAAACAGTACAAATCCGTTAAAAACTGTCCAGTGGTGAAATTCTAGCAATATACAGTTGTTTGGGTGCTTTTATGTCTAGCTAATTTCATTAATATTGGTAAAATGGCCAATAGTTCTGAAGATTTACCCTTTGTCTTTTTGCAGAACAAGCACAACACAACAGTTAATATACAGTATTCATCTTGATGCTAGTGTAGGTGAGTAACTTCCAGCTTGCCAAGCCTCTTTGAATGCCATGTGGCAGTTATTTTAAATAAATAAACTATCAACCCCCAGAGCAAACTGTAAAACAGCCCTCCGCATTTCTCTCTCTCCCTCAGCACTGCCTGAAATGGCTTGAGAAATGGGGGAAATAATTATAGGCAGAAATACTGAGCAGTGACAAGGAATTAAAAAGAGATGTTAGAACAAGGACTTCAGCTGGGATTCCTTAGGCCCAATTTAAACATTTGCATAGTGGCATAGTTGCTGCTGAAAATCATTTCTTTGTGGTCAGAGCTCCATGCAGCTGAAGAATGTTTGAATCCACTTCCTGTGCAGGACTACTGATCACATGGGAGGTAGACCCACAACCATCTGGAGCCCTGAGCATGGGTGAGTGATATTTAGCAGCAACTATGCTGTTGCACAAAAGTTTGAACCGGGTCTGAATTTTCTGCTGCTTCTTCCAACTCAGGGTTGGTTTGGGATTGGGAATAGATATTTTGAGGCTGCCAAGCGTGTAGTAGCCACCCTGGAACTTCTTTTTTGAAGGACAGACTATGAATCTTAATTGGTTAATTAATACAGTGCACTACTGATATTTTAAGATAGCAGTAGCAAGGCTTAGCAGAACTTCACAGATATGTAGGATTGCCAGTTTGCAACCCAGAGATTGAGGATACACAGAACAATTGTACTAATGAAATGACACAAGTGTCTCCTGGGATTTTTTTTTGCTATGGCTGCTCGCCTGCCACTTGTCCTTGTGCAGTAGCAAGGGCAAAGTATGGCATGCAGCAGACAGAGAAGGAGAGATCCAAGAAATGAGCCTTACCTCTCATTTCACTGGTACAAATGCATTAATCTCTGGGTTGCAAACTATGTATGCGGGAGGCAACTGTGGGTACTTCTAATCATAGGTTGAATAGAGCCTCTCGGAATCTGGCAAATAACGCTTTGGACATGACAGTCTATAATATCTGAGACACAATTCAAGCATTTCCCATAACTATATTAGAGGGAGACATACAAAACTCCCCATGCCAGCACATCTCTTGGAAGGTGGAGATGTGTATTTTAATAATATGGGGATGTGGGAGAACAGAAACACATGAGCTTTCTGTTCCTTCCTGCAAGAGAATGAAGCTGCATTTGACTCTCCTCCCACCCCAGTAAATCACAGAGGGACTGTCAAGTTAGCCATTGATAAAAAGCCTACTTGGTGTAGCATGGTTCTCCTCAGATTCTGATTGAGTTCTTGCTGAGGATGTAGGAGACTGTACATACTAGGTGAATTCGCAGACATGGACACCTCTTGCTTGTGTTTTCCTCTTTCTATCCGTCCCTTGAGTCTCTGACATGAAACTGTAAGGGGTGAGGGAATGGTTGGAACAGCTGACTGTGAACATAAACCCATAGTCATTTCCTCCTGCTGAAGCCCACCATTGACTCCTTTCTGGAAAACATGGTTGCTATGATCTAGATTGTCATAGAACAGCCAAGGCTGTTGCCATGATTCATAGTAATAGCCTGAAGGAGAATGACACTCTGCCCATTACGAAAACCCTGAATGAATTGCCAGCTACCCATAAAGTGCTTGAGCCTTTAAAGTTCATAATTTACTTAAAGTACATAAAGTTCATAATTACTTTCATTAGTGAATATATAATTTGTTATAATTTTTGTGTAATCATGTTCCAGAGCCAAATTTGCCAAACCTAAATCTTATAAAATGTGTATTAATATAAACATTAATGTAGAGGTTTGTCTCAAACTATCTCATTTTCCCTTTTGTGAAGCACAAACATCTCTCTTTTATTTGAAATAATATATATATATTGACTTTCTTAGTAAAGTAAATAATTGACCAGCACAAAGTATAAGGTCTTCAAACTCAGATGGGTGAATATGCTAATTTTCTTTCTCTTTCTTTCTCATTTCTCCAGTCTTCAATTCAAATCTCCACATTTCCACATCAGTTTGCATTTTTTTTAAAGTGTGCATGAAAATTCATCATTTTAGTGCAAATTCTAATATACACATTTTTTGTAAGCAATTTCGTCTAATATACATTTTTTTGCAGAGCAATTTAAAAAGTTCCCTATTATAATGGATTTTTGTATGTTATTTTTATATGCACTATTTAGTATACAGTATGCACTTTTGAAAACATTACTTGGCTGAAGAACTGCATTGCAACATTTGGGCAAGTGTGGATTTTGAAGGATGGCGGTGTTTTGGTTTGCATATTGTTTTGCAAAGTGTGAATTAGGTATTTTTGCCTTTAAATACAAACTTAATTAATTGCTCCTCCTTCCCTCCTCATGACTAGTTATTAAAGTACAAATTAACATGGCCACAGATTTTGATTCCTGATCCTCTGTTGTTTTGTGGATAGCAGGGCTGTACTAAATACTGCTGATTGTGGGCTGCAGATCAGTAATGAACATATAATTATTTGTGGCAGACAGAGGTTCAAGAACACTGTCAGTACTAACTTGAGACTGATTTCCTTTTCTAATACAGAGGAACAGAAGAAGCTGACTATTTATGATGCTTATCTGGGTGGAGCCCGTGGTGAGTGTTTTTCAGTTTCTTTATCACTTTTGTTAACACACTTTATTTTCCTGTTAGAAACATTATTTTTGGAGAGAAACTTTGCTGGCCGCTTTTCTGTTTGTGTGCTGAGTCACTCGATCATACACACCCTAAGAACACTTATTTGGAAGTAAATTCTGTTGAATTTAATTAACCTTACATCTTCTATGCATCCACAGACTCTGCTATAATTTCCATCTCCTCCTGAACCTACTACAGTGTCTATTGTACCTCCTCTATCTCTCTGTCTTTCTTTGCTGCAATCACATTGACACATTCCTGAAATCTTGTTGGTGTTTGCATCAGCTTCAGCCAAACTAAGCCTCAATGCATTCCACCAGAATTTCATATAAACCTAAGTACCAGCTATATTGTATAAAGAAGACAGGATGGTATGTATAAGCAATAACACACAGCACAGCAGGATGAAACCTACCCTAGAAGTCTTATATACATACTGCTTTGGTAACATCAGCATATACCACCCAAGGGGTGCAGCAGGATGCCATTTGCAACCTGAAGTTTGAAGCTGAAGAAGGAAGCAAAGGATTGTCCCTGACTTTCCATGGAGATGCAGTTTAAGGTCAGTGTACATGCTACTCTGTGTACACTTAACTGGCAGAAAGCCCTGTAGTATTCAAAGAGGCTTCCAAGTAAACATGCACACAAGGGCAGCATTCTGCAGGCTACAAGTTTTGACTTGGCTACCAGGGAGAGCCAAAATATGTGGATTACTGTTTGAAAGAGGAATCTATGCTCTATCAGTGGTTATTAACATTCGTAGATAAATGGAGCCTCCACCCTCAGGTGTCCACTGTGAACAATTTGCAAAACACCTTGAAGATAAAATAACTTAAATCCATGCTAACTTGGAACCCATATATAAAGTTATGGATCCCCTCATGGTTCCCAAGTACCATAATGCATTTCAATTTATGCAGCCTGAGGAGGTGGACAAGGTCCCCTTCTTGCCGCTGGAGGGGCCTGGCATATTGGGTGGGAGGGGGTTCTTAATGTCTCACATAGGGAGGGTGTAGTTTTAGTAGTCTTAAAGGATCCTTAATAAATAGCTTATACAGTGGTACCTCTAGTTACGAACTTAATTCTTTCTGGAGGTCCGTTCTTAACCTGAAACTGTTCATAACTAGAGGCGTGCTTTTGCTAATGGGGCCTCTTGCTGCTGCTGTGCCACCGACACACAATTTCCGTTCTCATCCTAGGGCAAAGTTGTCAACTTGAGGTAACTCTTTCAGGTTAACGGAGTTTGTAACCTGAAGCATTTGTAACCTGAGGCGTTTGTAACTCGAGGTACCACTGTAGTAAGATCTTTACTAAAGAAATATACCCTGTGTTTTACTGATTTGAATAACTATCAGACAGTTATAAAATCTACAATATGGAAGGAAAGTGTTAGAGCATGTAGTGGGGATACTGGTATAGTGGTCCGTTTACTTTTCCAAAAACTGTTTGTGTATTCCTTCCTATGGTGGCATCCACTATGCTCTTCTCAGTTTCTTTGTGGTGGCTGACACTCCCTCAACCCTTGGTTTCAGATCACATAACAGCAATATTGGAGCAACTTCATTAGTACTCTCTTTGTTTAATAATTTCAAACTACTTGCATTGACCTTAAAAGCTGTTAAAAGTTAAAAGTTAAAAGCCTAGGTTTCTCAACCCCCGCCCCTTTGTTGGAAGAGTATCTGTTCATAGGACAGAACCCCCTGTTTTCCTTAGATATGATGTGTGGGAATTTGAGTTGCAGCCTTATCAGTAGTGGCTCTCAGTTGTGAAATTTCTTATTCAATGAAAAGTGACTGCCCCACTTTGTCTGTCTTCAGGTGGCTAGTTAGAGTATTCTTAATTATGTGAAACTTATTATAGTACTGTATCTTAAATGTCTGGCTTCCTGCTTTTTTACTTTCAGTTGCCAATATCACTACTGCTAAAAATGTTTTAAATAAGTGAGGAGGGATAAAACAATTTTAAATAAATATTCATTGAGCCTTATTGTTATTTATTTATTTAGTGTAATACATTTGTTACCTGCTGTTCATACTACGTTTTCACAAGATGCCTTACAATATCTGACAAAGCCAGCTAAAAGCACATGCAATATTCCAATAACAGTTCATAAAATAATAAGCAGGAAACAATAAAATCACACATCCATTTCAGCAATACATTCAACACAGAAATTAAAATAGGCTGCCAAGAACATGGAAGATGAAATTTCAAGAACAGTAATCGTATCCCAATTCACACAACTTTTTAGCTATTTTGCATTGCTTTGCTTTCTCTTGGTTTCATATGGTTTGTTTGCCATAACATCTTTTCCTTCATTCAATTTTTTTGGGGGGAGGGGCAAGACAAGAGAAGACAAAGGCAGCTTCTATCCTTTCTAAAAAATGTTAGACATTATTTCAATGCAAATGCTGAGTCAAATACTCTTATTTCTCAGGTTGGATTATCTTTGTGTTAAAACAAAAACAGTACAATCCTAGTTATGTTTTATCTTTTGTATGTTTTCCTCAAAAACTAGGGAGGTATTATTATTGCAGACGATTTAAAAACATTGCATTTAAAAAGCGGGCTCCAGTTTAATTTGAGAACAGAAAGTGATCGGTATTATAAGCTTAATGTTTATAGGAAAGAATGTTTTTCCTTTTGGGTTCCCCCCCCTCAATGTTTGAAACGTTAAGTTCAAAGAGAAATTTCACACTAGTGCCTGCTTGAATTTCTGCATTTTTGGTCAGTAGATTTCAGTAAGTCTGTTGAGGTTCTTGACTAATGTACAGGCTCAACCCTGCATTAAGGGAAGGAATTATAAGCTGTAAATAGTTTGATAGTGAAATCTGAGCAAAGGGCCAATGTCAGCATTATATAGGTAATCTGTCCATTAACTTTTAGTACTTCAAGATACAAGTGATAGCAAATACACATGATGGTTTAATTATGTAAGGGAAAGGAAAAAAGTTACATTATTTCATGTCAGTATGACAGGCACAATAGGGAAACAAAAGATCCATGATGAAACTTATTCCCATTTAAGTGTTAATAAAATAATTATGAGTACAGAAACTTTGCTAAACCCAAAACTTTGCTATGTCTTGCAGATAAGAAGGGTGGGATACACATGAAACAAATAAATGCAGTGTGCTTTTAACATTAATTCCTGATAAGATTTAAACACTTGTTTATAGAATTGTACATAGGGATATATGAAAGGAATAGGTCCAAGCCATAAAATGATTTTGAGATAACCAGTCTAACTGCCTCCAGGGTTGTAGCCTGATGACTGTTGATCTTCTGTTTCCCCTCTGGAACATAAATGTTCTGATTTAAGGGTTTTTTTTGTTCTCATGATGAAAGGAAGGTTCTAATGAATACAAGAAAGGTTTTTGCCTTTCTGCTTCACAGCATTATTTGTATAAATGTCACATCCTTGCCAGGAAAACGATCTGGCCACCATAAGTAGAAAACATGGGTGTTTCTTCTTCTTTCATTTAATGGTACGTTGTGTCCACAAATGCCATTCTTTTGCTAGCTGGAAACAGACTACATATGGCTTTGTCGTCATTGAAGGAAACAGCAGTGTGCTGTGGGACTTTATAAACGGCTTTCATTGATGTAGTTTTGTCCATCTAACAGCTGCCTTCCAGCCCTGTACCCCTTACCCACGTCAGTGCTGCCGTCAGTCCAATTTTAAAAGGAAGATAAAGATATCTTCTTTGAGGGTGAGTGTTTAGTTCCAGGAGATGAGTGTATACATAGGATTTCATCCAGTTAAAATGATGGCTTCACCTTGGCCATGAATGGCCCTTTTACTAAAATGTAGGTGCTGATCACAGAAACTTAACAAAACCTAGCAAAAAGGGCATATTAGAAAAATATATATTTTGTGCCATATAACTTTCTGTAACTTACCAAATTGTGTCTTCTTCAATAGTGATGTCTTTTGGCATTTACATTGTGTTTATTGCACCTTGTATAAATGAATAAACAAGGATTTTTTTTTTTTTACAGTGATTGTTATTGGCATGCATTCCAATTCTCAGTACTGTTTTTGGCAAAGACTCCCTGAATGGGACATGGTGGTTTCCACAGTGTGCTGTACAAAGGGCACAATAGTGTATTTTTACTAAAGCACTCTATCATAGTTTGAATATACCTAACTTTAGGTAAAAAGAGAATGAAGTGAAGTGTATGACCACCTCAGACCATTACCAAAATTGTTATTAGAGGAATTTCATTTACATCTACTTTGCTAGGCATAAAATGCTATACAAATGTCTAGAATGAGCACTTACACCTTCCTTTGTGGACGCCCTTTGTGGGACCGCGCACAGCACCTCTGGCCGCATGGGACTTACCAGGTGGTTGGGCTGACCTGCCTCCCTGTGCTAGTTATTGGGGGCTCCTGCCAAACCCCAGTTAACCTATCAGCACTGTTGGGAGGCGGGGCCAGTTGCATAAATAGGAGGCGGAGCCAAAAACATTTTGATATAAAAATTTTCAAGCTAACCTGTAGAGAAACTATTTTAGACCTTATAAATGAGAAAAAACTGATAATAAACAAGAAGCAGGCCTGGATGAAAACAATGAGAAGTTTTAATTTAGTATTTTAATAGCCTAGCTCTCTGTCTCCTAACACAGCTACCACTGAGTCTGTTTGCATCAGTGGAAGCCATGTTTGTTCCCATTTTAAAAAATGGCTAGAAGACCAAGCTAAATGCTGAAGTACATCATTTCTGGATCAAGAAAGAAGGCAACACATATTAGGGAAATGACAAGGTTAGAGTCCAGATGCTAGGCAATCCAATTTAATGGAGAAGTGGGAAGGACATCAGTAGCTTGGCTGACCTAGGGGCAGTAAGGGTGGCAAAGGAATGGAGTTCTGCTCTTTCCTTCTGATTAATTTCTCAGAACTAGGAGTGTAGAGTGTTGGAGCTTTATGGAACCCCATTCCTTTATGAAAATGACAGCGGAACAGTTTTTGTTAGTTTCTTCACAGTTTGACCATATCTGAACCCCAGAGAAGGCTGTATGCAGATTCACCCTAGGTAAATAAAATGATCACTATCAGAATTTGCTTAAAATGATAAGAATAGGGAACAAAGTTGTTTGGAAATATTTT